TACACTCCCGAACGCATGGAGTCGTCCATGCGATAGAACAGAGCAGAATGGACTGTCATGGAATAGAATATAATGTAATATAGTACAACGAAAGGTTTGCGCTGTAGTAGAATGTAGTATACCCAGCTCCCACGGTGCAAGTTGCATGACACAGTGGCTCGTCCGCGGTTCGATATCCCTACGCTCACGAACCCCAACGATGTCGTTTAAAGGGCTCCTTTAAAGGATTACTATACGGTTTCTATGAGGGAACCAATGTAGGGGCCTAGAGAATTGGACTAATGTAGGATCCTGATTAAGAAACCCTGGGCCTATAACCCCAAAATAGTAGGATTCATATAAGGAACGCTAATAAAGGCCCAAGGTTTCTTAATCAGGTTCCTACATTAGGGTTTCGGGGAAATAGGTTACAAGTATAACTAAGGTAACTATATACTTCTAACCCATATAAGGGGACTTATAACCCCACTGACTATAACCGCCCTTAGAACCAAAACCAAAATAGTATCTTTAATACTCTCTTGGGTTTTAGATGAACGGAACTAGAAAGATATAATTCCTCTGGAGACTATAGCTTACAACGACCCATGAACCCTCAAGTAGGGTTTTGGGGAATTAGGAGGCCCGAGGCCAAGCGAATCATGTTGGGAACTATTCAGGCTTCTACCCCAGAGACTCCAACATCCCTTAATTAAGGAATATACCTTAAATTATAGAAGGATCCCTAATACGATTTAAGGTATCTTCCTTCATTAAGGGATGCGGGAGTCTCTGGGACATTCGGCACCACGCAACCTAAACACAACACCGAACAAGACATTTCTCCAGCATCAGCAACCTCGTAGTCTAAGCCCAGACACCTTGAAGGATCCGACAAAAAGAGAGTCTGTCCTGAGGGTATCATCCCCTAGATCCTGTTCTGGGACGTATAGCTGGGATGCTGCACAGCGCGAGGCCACTGACCACCGTGCTCCAAAGCACCGAGGACGGCATTGTGACCTAGAGTGCAGTTGATGATATAGAGGCCGCAATCATAAGTCAAACAGGGTGTTGGGGTATGTGATAACACCAAATAGGGACATGAGGGGGTATTCATACTAATTACTCCGACTCCGTACCGGCGCAATGTAGGCGTTATAACGACTAGAGCAGTGTTTTAGGGTGTGCTGCAAGAAGGGCATACTATTCCTGACAAATCAACCGCCTACATTATGCCGCTTCAACCTTGCAAGCCTGCGATGGGCCCAAGATCCTCTGAGCCGAACTGCCGATGATGTCGCTGGGCACTCGCTGGCTCTGCATGGCCTCGCGGGAGCGAGGATCTGCCTTATTGAAGCTTCTGGTGTCTTCCATTGTCTACATTTCTCTGCTTTATTGAAACCGCATCATGTTTGGGTTCAGGGTTCAGGGTAGCATCAAGAAGCTTTTGAAGTCGTCGGCTGAGGGTGATCTTAGACGTCAATAGAGCAGACTAGGACCAAGTGCGGAATCGGTCTGCAACACCCAAGTCAGCGGCGTGCTGCGGTGATGAAGGCCGCGGTTTGGATGTCTTAGGTGCTTGGCTGTCGACCAAGGTTCAAATCAATAAAGACGGTAAAGAGAGTCCAAAGTTGAGCTGCATCTCGTAATTATGTCTAATGCTGGCCTGATTCTGACGGAGAATTCGGAGAATGCTCATGGGAGATAACGGCAGTTTGGATTCCAAATTTTGTCCAAATCTGTCCAAAACCCTTCAGCATGAGACGGGCTTTACCAATCAGCGCTCCAAGTGCTGCTTTTCACAATAAAAACAGGAGAGTTGCCATGGGGGGGTGGTTCGTGACTGGCTACAGCCACAGCCCTTAGCCCTAAAGCCTAAACCCTCCTGATGCAGGTCATATAGGGGCCTTCATAACTAGAAAAGGGGTGTGGCCAAACCCGAAACCCCCAAAACTAAACCCCTAAACGCCAAAACCCCAAACGCTAAACGCCCAAACCCTAAACCTTGAAGTATATTAATATGAACCCCTGCTATTGGTTCAGGTCCTCACCACTCAAACCCTCGAAGCTGCTGGCTCCCAGCTCGGGAAAATAAACACAACCATCGGCAAACCCAAACCATACAATCTAATAACTGTAATAAGTATGATACAAATATAGTATATTATAAGATGACATAATACAGTACGATGTAAAATGTAAAGCAGTACTTATGTTAAAATGTAATGTAACATAATGCGCCTCGAACTCCAGGTAAACATGTTTCCCGAATCCCTCCACATGCACCTGGCGCAGCGCAAGGGTCCGCTGCCACTTGCCCGCATTGGCGGCTGCACTCAGTCCAGCATGTAGGGCCACCTTGACAATGACAATACATCTCCGCTGCTAAAAAACAAGCGACCTTGCATTTCAGACGAAGAATCTTGACAGCAACCCTAATTTCTAATGCTAGGTCCGTTATAGTTCAAGCAAGGGGATTGTTCGTCTAGGGTCTATGTTGGCGGTCGTACGGTTTGGGGTTTAGATGCTATGCTTTATACAGCTTTGGTTCAAAAAAGTCATATACGTATGTATACACAAAAAATAGAAGATTAACGATTTTACTCACTGTTTGTTTATGAGGTGTTCCTTCCAAGTTGTTGGGGTGGGAAAGTGCGAGTTTCCAGGGCGCAGCAACTCAGATTCTGTCATGTACACCTAGACCCAGAGCCCTTTAGCAACCAAGGCAAGGCGCACGACAGTTTTAGTTTCCGCTCAAGGCTACGGATGGCTAGTTGGGAAACTGTTCTAAAACCTGAGACTTGGAATGCCTTGTGATTTGCAACTTGGCTTCGTGGTGGTCGTGAGTTCGTAGGATCCACCTGAGTAAAGCGCCAACGCGACTGTAAGCACACGGAGCATAGGCTGTGGTTTCGCAGCGCGGATTGCATGAACCAGCGAGCCCCAACACCGCCTAATGAAGGAATGAATGTAAGCAAAAGCCGTAAGCCTGCTCCGGCAGCATCTCTGCTAGGACCATCCTGCCAGGCATTCGAAGCATTTCCCCAAGCTCCGGGGGTTCAGGGTTTGAGTTTGGGGTTTACGGGATACTACGAAAGCTCTGAAGCAAAAGTTTGTGCTAGACCCCTTAACATACCTGGACCCTAAGGACCCTACCTTTTTAGGGCTCCTGAATATGATTTCGTTATATAAGTCCTTAAAAAGGTAGGTTACGTGGGGTTAAGGTAGGGAATACTACTATGTTTTAACCGCGATGCTCCTTATCATGATCTGAGCTACATTGCCTAAATCAAGGGCAATCTGGGCTGTCTACGTAGCACGCCCTGAACCAAAAAGGCTGGAGGCACCACCAAACAATCGAAAAGACCGATGGTCTTGATCTTTTTTGGCTTATAGGGCGTGGGTTTAGGGTTCAGGTGCTTCGGGGTGTTCAAGGTGGCCCAGATGTAATCATTGATCTGTCTTTGGACTTCAAGAAGGCCCTTACAGCATCCTACACCCCACCGGCCCTACCCCTAAATCCTAAACCATGCCAATGCCGTTCAGGCTTTGGGACTAACCCCCTCGATTTTCAGGAAACAGAGGTTGTCGGGATTTTGGATACCCTAAACCCTAAACCCATAACCCTAACCGGACCCTAACCCTAAACCCACAAGCCCAGGATAAATAGAAACTGTTCTGCAGCCCCCCCCAGCCCAGTCCAGCCAGCTCAGCCCAGCCAAGCCCAGCCAGCCCAGACCTTAACCCCAACCGGACCCTATCCCTAAACCCCAAATCCATATCCCCAATCGGACCCAACCCTGAACTCTAAACCCTGAACCCTAAACCCATGACCCTAACCCACCGTAACCCTAAACCCTACACCCATATCTCATAACCCTAACCGGACCCTATCCCTAAATCCTGAACTCAGGCCCGATTATACTCTATTTATCATAAGGAGCTCCCAAAATCGGTGGCTAATTATTCAAGGCCCGTACATTTCCCCTAAACCCTAACCCAAGTCAGCCGGTAGGAACGAAGGGGCCCGCGCCTCCTCAGGATCTGCAAAGCGTGCCTCCATTGGCAGCCTTCCGGCGAATGATTTAGGGTTTCGACGCTCGCACTCGCACAAGGCAGGCAAGGCTCCACATTTAGGGTTTAGGGTGTAGGACTTAAGGTTCTGCCAAGAAACATTTCGGCATTCAGGGGATGGGGCTTAGGAAAGACTTCGAGTGACTACTGTCTAGGCGTGCGCACAAATCATGCAAGGCAAAGAACGGTTGGGCAATTTTATCTCTCTATGGGCACACTGTCACCGATTTCTTCAGCCGTAATCCTTTCAGGATCTACGACCCCGGTGGAAGGTGAATATGGTTTAATTGCTGGCATGCACAGCCACAACAGCACTGTGCCCACACCTGCCATGATCAGGAGTGCGGGCGTCGCAAGCACAGATGCTTCTATATACAGAGATGTAGAGGCAATCAGAAAATCGATAAGAAGCCACTGCGTTATGAAGCAGCTGAGAAACATGACTGCTCCGACTGTCACGAGACCCACGGCAATAATCACCCTTGCAACCGTGCCATCGCATAGTAGCCGGGCCGGTTGCTTGGACGATACGCCGATACGAAAATGTCCGGTTTGCCAACTGATCCACCAATGCCTGTAGGAGCTTAGTGCGAACAACGGCCTCGAAGTGTTCGGTGGATCCGAACCAAGCAGAGATGCACCGAAGAATGATGCTGCGGTCTCAGATCATTCTCGCCCCCGACCCGTCAACATGGTTATCCGTGCAGGACCGGCTCGAAGAGTTCTCCACAGTAAAATTGCGCACCTGCTTCTGCACCTTCTCGATGTTGCGGCAGTAAGCGAGAACTACATATGCGAGCCAAGTTAAACATGGGAGAGCCAGCGCTGCCATCGATAGTCCACCCCATGGCCAATATGTCAGAGGCGAGTGTTCGGAAATGAGCAACAGCAAGCACAAGCCACAGTTGCGGTGAGAAAAACTGGACCGACTAAAACTGGGCAGACTACTACATCCTTCGCTTCGTCAAGCTCGCGGCTGTGAAGTAAAACGAACCCAAAGGACAACCCAGCAACCTTCCGTTCATCCAATGGCGAGGGCCGCCTTGGAGGATGCGATAATAAGTCCGGATGCCCCGCACGATCTGAGAACTCGTGGCCTGCATCTCGGTCAAGAGTGCAATATGGCTCTCGAGGAGTGGGTTCCAGGCCCAGGACTCGTGCGACACGTCGGAGGAAGACGTCTCCTCTTCGCCGGAAGGGCTCAACTCACCTTCGCAAGGCTCGGGCATGCCCAAACAGACCTCCAGGCCGCTCTTCGACATGCTACTGCGCTATATACAATGCCATCATGCCAGCCCTTGAGGATGCTAGCCGAAACGACTCGATTCTGGATATGACGAGTTCGTGCTCCCTCCTGCAAGACAACTGTTTGCAAGCAGGTAAGCTAGTGGTTACGCATTGGGTTTGAGGCTCCTACAGGTAGCATCTTGCATCTTTTGACCAGCGTGTTGCGCTTTGAGCTGCACGAAGAACTTCGTGCGATGTTGCCCATAGGTGCTGGTTAGTCCCAGAAAGTCCCACGATCCTAGCAGGAAGAATGCGAAAAGGCCACGACCCCGAACCCTAAAGTCCGAACCATGGGGGCCATGGAGCCTGAAGATCAGATTTTAGGGGCCCCAAAAAGGGGCATAAGCATTTTATAGGGATATCCCTACCTGACTGGGCTTCATTATAAGGGGTTTTATAAGGGATATCCCTATCCTAATTTTTGCTTATGTGCTTTTGGGAGCCCTAGATTTGGTCAGGAACATCTGTGGCACATCAGTCCTGTGACAACGACATACGAAGGGTCAGAATTCAGGGACTGGAACCCAGGTTGAGCAGGCGAGCGCGGCAGGGATGTGCACGAGTGATGCCTTCTCGCTGGAGGGACTGATGCAACACCAACTCCACGAATCTAACGACTGAAATCCTTTATAGCTTCCAAAACCGTTCGGATTCAGGCGCACTACCAACCGGTTAAACGGAGCAAGGTTGTGTCTTGTAAGAATCTGGCTACCGCCGGGGCCTTTCTCGCATGCGGAGACGGCCGCGGAGCAGCCCACCAGCGAGTACAGCGAAGACCTCGCAAGAATGACCCTAAACCCTGAACCCTAAGCCCTAAACCCTATTTCAGTTTCAGGATTTGTTACGTACCACAAGCGGTGACTTCCTATGAACCCTAAACCCCTACCCTGCACCCTAAGCCCATGGATCCCGAAATCCTTAAAACGTGGTGCTTTGAGTTAGTCAGGGGCAGTGTGGACCAAATCGCACCAAAGCTGCTAAGGAGGCAAAAAGCAATCCCGCAATCCAAATGGTCTAGTATAGAGGTTTGAAAGGGTATTTTGAAGTTTTGTGCACTAAAAGTCACAGACGAATCGCCTGAATCCATCCAGCAGCCACGTCAAGGCCAAACGCCACTTGTTCGCCTTCAGAGTCAGACAAGACGGACCGGCGAGAAGGTGTCTCGAGATTGCGGAGGGAGTCGAGGCATGGTTTATGGTTGCATTAGGGTTCAGGGTTTAGGGTTTAGGGCTGGGGACTGTTTCCTAAAGCTTTGCTGCAGAATCTCCCGAAGCCCGCTGGACCCTGAGTCAAAGGCCCATCGTCCTAGCGCGAAGTCATGAAGCCCAGAAGTGTGGAAACATAACAAGAGGCCCCTTATGATCTAAGGAATATTCCTTAACCCTAAACCCTGTAGATCCCTTCCAGGAACCTTAGATCCCTTAAAAGGAACCCTAGGTCCTATATATTCCTGAATTAAGGTGTATTGGGCTCCCTGGGAACTGGCAGACTCCAGGGGGTTCGGGACTTATGGGCCGGTTTTACGGGGGATACGGCTAGGGTTTAGGGTTTAGGGTTCAGGGTTCAGGGTTTAGGGGTTTACGCTCTCGCAACTCGGACAAGCCAGACGAGGTCTCGGGGTTGGTTTAGGGTTTAGGGGTTTAGGGCTTTAGGGGTTTAGGGCTCTAGGGTGTAGTACCGGAAGTCCCAGCTGGCAAATGTCCGGTCCCAGCGATCTATCCATACAAGTTAGGATTAGCGCGGCCCTTGGGGATCTAGACCCTCTCAATGAGGTCCCTTTTAAGAAAGCCATAAGTAGGGTTCAGAAGGGTCCCCTTCAATTCAAGGGGTCTCCCGAACACTACCTAGGAAACCAGGGCCTTTTGGCACTTCGACCGACCCTTCCAGGATGCAACTTGGTGGGTAGTTGTAGGTAGGGTTTAGGGTTTAGGGTAGTTAAAGTAGGGGAACTCTACTTATATCCCATATTAGGGGACTTATAACCGCACTTATAACTACCCATGAACCTCCAAGTCCAGGGTGCAAGGGCAGGTTGTTTGTCGGAAACCATCGGTTTATGTGTCGAACAGCTAAGGGAAGTAGAGAGCAAGGAAGCCCCCCTTGAGAGGGGTTGGGGGCTGAGCCCGTGCAAACCCTAATTGAGAACCCAGAGAGCCCCAATACCCCTTAATTAAGGAATATAGAGTAAATCATAATATGAAGCCTTTAATGATTTAAGGGATATAGCTTAATTAAAGGGTATTGGGCTCTCTGGGATACTACGTTATGCTGACTCAAGTTCGCGAGCAGTGTTTGCGTCCCCATTCCTAAAGAAGCGCACCCACCGCGCACATACTTGGAGTTAGTAACCGGTTTTTTTTAGGGGCTTATAAGCGCCATAACCCCAAATAGGGTCCCTTTTAGGGTACTCATAAGTCTACTTACTACCTACTTACTAAGTCCCCCGACCCTCCAAGTACTGCTACAATCCCAAAACCTCAAAACCCTAAACACCAAAGCCCCCCATTCCCTGAACCCTGAGCCCCAAAACCCAAACCCTGAACCCGAAACCCTATATATATATATATATATATATATACATAAACGCTGAACCCTACCTTTTTTGTAGGTTCTTATTATAAACCTCAATATGGAATTTATAGGGACCCTACAAAAAAAGTTGGGTTTGGTAGGTCAAGGTATACATAAACGCTGAACCCCACAACATGACTTTTTGTCCGCCTTGCTTCGCAAGCTGTGCAGACGCTCAGGAGCCGCTTGGCATGGGGTCGCAGGGTTCTTGAATAGGGTTTAGGGGTTTAGGGTTGACGGATTAATTAGGGCTTGAGGTTTAGTTGAGGGTTCCGGTTGTGGCGTCTGGGGTTCAGGCATTCAGAGCCATTGTGATCAGGGGGTCGCAGAGTTCTTGTGCTACCAGCAAGCATACTTAGAACTATGTAGAAATACAGGACTCCCTGTAGAAGCCTGAGACAAAGAAGACGTATTTGCCTCCGTAGAGAACCGGTATAGTATCCCTACAACCCAAGGTTTGCAGTAGCCCCTGTAGAACCCTTAGAGAATGCTAATGGCCATTTCGAAGAGTTTCAATGTTTGTGACTGTCTTGTGCTCAGGGGATTCAAGTTTGGGGAGGGTTTGGGTTTGAGGTCGAGGTCTATGCTTCGGGGCTTAGGGTCCGGAAGCTCTGATTATGTAGAGCAGGGTTTTGGACACTCACACTCGGACAAGCCTGGCGAGGTTTAGGGTTTAGGAGGTTTAGGGTGTTCGATCACGAAATCCTTCGCGCCAACTGCTGCTACGGTGCCGGGAACTGTCGCCACGTCTTCATGTTTGACGACGGCAAATTGTGTCAAACCAAGGAATCCGACATACACGAGTGGCCCTTATTTCCTAAGCTGCAAAAACACTCTGAAGGCTTCAGGGGTGTCAAGTGCGTCAGACTTTGTAGTGTCAAACTGCAGTCGTGAGACGAGGGTGTGGATATCCAACAGAAAGCCTCAACCCTACAGTACTCCCCAAACCGTCCTGCTTCGAATCCTGCAGGCCCAAAGAGGTGTCGGGCAAGAGTCGTGCGGGGAATCCGGTAGGAGCCCAATTACAGCACCCGCGTGTTGGCGAAGCTGTGCACAAGGGTTTCCAATGAAAGGCAAGCAGGTAATTGCATGACTAGTCTGCCGATTCGAGCAACAGAATCGGAATGTACCAAGGGGCATGAAAGACCACTGCACAAGCTCAGAAGATCGAATATCTGAAGCACCTTCACCATTGAATTTAGACTTCAAATCACTACTGCGACCACTGCTACTGCTGCTACTACTACTACTGCTGCTACTGCTACTACGACGACAACTACTACTACGACTGCTACTACGACCAAGACTACGACAGCGATTACAACTACGACTACGACTACGACTGCGACTGCGACTGCGACTACTACTACTACTGCTACTACTACTACTACTACTACTGCTACTACTACTACTACTACTACCACTACTACTGCCACTACCACTACCACTACCACTACCACTACCACTACCACTACCACTACCACTACCACTACCACTACCACTACCACTACCACTACCACTACTACCACTACTACTGCTACTACTACAACTACTACTACGACGACGACTACTAGTACGACTGCTACTACGACTACTACTACACCAACTACTACGACTAAGACTACGACAACCACTTATACTGCTGCTACTGCTGCTGCTGCTACTACTACTACTACGACTGCGACTACGACCACTACTACGACGAGGACGGCGACTACTGCTACTACGGCTACGACGCTACTGACGACTACGAGTACTAATACTAGTACAAGTACTTGTACTGGTACTAGTACTGGTAGTAGTAGTAGTAGTAGCAGTAGTAGTAGTAGCAGTAGTAGTAGTAGTAGTAGTACAGTAGTAGTGTACTACTACTACTACTACTACTACTACTACTACTACTGCTACTACTACTACTGCTACTGCTACTACTACTACTACTACTACTACTACTACTACTACGACTACCTACTACTACTTCTAGGACTCTACTGCTGCTGCTGCTGCTACTACGACGGCGACTGCACCTACTACTACTACTACTACTACTACTACTACTACTACTACTACTACTACTACTCCTGCTGCTGCTGCTGCTGCTGCTGCTGCTGCTATTACTACTACTACTACTACTACTACTACTACTACTACGACGACTAGGACGACGAATACTACTGTTTACTATTACTACTACTACTACTACTACTACTACTACTACTACTACTACTACTACTACGATTATGCTTTTGAATCAAGCCCAAGTTTGCACAGATTCTTGGAGAAATGAGTTTTGCCGGCTGTGCATGCAAAGCCGCAGAAAAGAGATGGTCTATGCAAAACTGTCTCTGATGGCCTGAGAACCCCTCCTGGAAACTAAACTGCTGGCCTTCATGTTGAAAACCATGTA